GAAGTATTTTTAGGAGAAAAGGGAATGTGATACTCTGTGTTGATGTCAGTAAGGGCAGGTTGTGATGACTTAGTGTTACCATTTTCAGATGCACTGTTGTCTTTGTAAGGAAATTTGTCTTCACAAAATACTACATATCTTGAGATAAAAACCTTTTTGGATTCAAGATCAAGGAGTGTGTATCCTTATAGTCCAAAAGGATATCCTAAAAATACACATTTCTTGGCTCTTGGTTTGAACTTGGTTCTGTGATTAACTAAGGTTAAAGCAAAAGCAAGACATCCAAAGACTCTAAGAAGTGAGTAATTTGGTTTGTGTTTGAACAGGATTTCAAAGGGACTTCTGTTTTCAAGTAAAGGTGAGGGTGTTTTATTTATTAAATACAGGGCAGTAAGGATTCAGCCATTCCAAAACCTCATGGGAATTTTACTTTGGATTTTTAGAGCTTTTGCAACATTAAGAATATGTTGATGCTTTCTTTCTATTATTGCATTTTGCTGTTGTTGCAGAAGCTCTCTCAAAAGGATCTTCAAACGGTGGTTTTCCAGGCTCAATCCAACGCACATTTCTCAACCAACAACCAGTCCAATCGGCTCCAAACCACAACCAATTGATTCACCTTGGTTGCTATGCAATCTTACCCACGTAGGACAAGAAAGGATGATGATTTATGGCCACAAAGACTAGGAGAAGATACCACAAAGGTATACTATGAAAGAACCACCAATTGCACATGTTATACAAGCGTTCTGGACACTTCTGGACACCTTGTTTCTCACACAAAAAGGGGGCAGCCGGGATTCACAACTTCTTCTCTCAAAATCACACACTCATCATATGAAAGTGGCTAGGGTTATAGCCAAATATATACTCTAGGGTTAGGCTTTAAGTTGAGCCAATAAAGGGGTAAACGGGCCAAGATTCAAGCCATCCATAAGGAATACAACTGGGCCGGGTGTAGCTCATGGACTTGGTTGTTGGATTTATTTCATTCATCGGCCTATGCCTATAAAATAATATTAACCCACGTTAACATCATAGCCCGAAATTTATTGGGTATCAAAAACCCAACAGCTGTGGTGTTTCAACACACATTTTCTGGTGAATTATCCCCATTTTATGGTAATATTCCTTCATTTCAAATTCTCCCCCATTTTCTGTCCTAATCACCTTCACTTGTGACTAAAATTGAGTATTTATTAAGGCACAAAATCCTTGCAAAGCTGCAGTAGCTTCTAATTTGGTTTTCAACATATAGACCCGTGTACATCTACTAAAATCATCAACTATGGATAGGAAATATTTAGATCCATCATAACTGGTTTTAGTGCAAGGACCCCAAAGGTCGCAATGTATGAGATCAAAAACTTTCTTAGATTTGTTATGATTGACAGAAAATGGTAATCTATGCATTTTAGCCATAGGACAAATAGAACAAGCTTCCTTGGTTAGCTTAGCATTTTAATTCACATTCAACAAATCTAATCTAGAGTGAGATGGATGTCCTAGCCCATAGTGCCAAAGATCAAAGTCCTTATTGTTGTTAAAGATGGCTGCTGACATTGAAATTTTGTTTTGAAAGAGAGAAAGAGCATCTGTAAAAGCTGATGGAGGGACTTGAGATTGCATCAAATGATATAGTCCTTGCCTCACTTCACCCATTCTAGTCTTTTTCCAAGTCAAAAGGTCCTGCAAAAAGCATTTGTCAGGGAAGAATATCAGGCAACATTTAGAGGTTTGTGTCAGTTTTCTAGCTGATATCTGATAAGTGTATTTTATCCACTTATTCGGTACATTAAATAGCGATATTTGATGATTCTTTTTACAAATTATATCCTAAATTTTTGTCTTTTATATTTAATAGGTGAAATTTTATGAAGAAAAATGAATTGAAGGAATGAAGCAAAAAAGGGCGAAATGCAAAAGTTGGGGACCAAGTTGTAACAATTCAGTAGTTGATCTGGACTATGAATCGAAGATTGAAGAGTTTGGAGGTCAAATTGAATATTTTAGAAAGTGAAGGACTTGAATTAAATCAAGGAAGACATGGGTTGCAAGAATAAAAGGATTCAAGGATTGAATTGCATTACCTTGAAAGATGGAGGATTTGAAGAATAATTTAACTATTAATGGCTTCAATTGGTGGTTGATTTGACCCCTACATGCATGCATGAATTAGAGTTCTTATTAAAGTGGCTGCAAACTGGTTGGCAGAAGAAATTTGAGTCCTTTTTAGAGTCTTTTTTTTAGTCAACAAAAGTGGCTCTAGGTTTTGAATATATATATATATATATATATATATATATCAACGCACAGGATACCAGCAGTTTTTGGAGGAGCAGCCAATATCATAGAATACACGCACGGAAATCGAAGGAGAAAAAATTCCATTTTTCTTTAGTCAAATTTGGTGGTTGTGAAATATTTTCTTGAGAGATATACACGTAAAAATAGAAATTTAGGCGGCCAGAATTTAAGAGACACGCACAGAATTTGGAGTTGAAGAAAAACCTGAAAAAAAGCTGACGGCAACACGCAGACAAGACAACAGATTTACTTTTGCAAATTATTCACGTTCCATCAATTAATCTGGTGATGTCTTCCATAAATTCATGTTTTTCTCTTATTAGTATGCATAGCTAAATTTAATTTTAGGGCGAATAATATAATCTATTTGGGACATTTATTTCTTTTATTTGAGATTCTTGTTCTTTTATTTTTTATGTGTGGATTTTAATTATATTTTTAAGGCTTTGAATTTTTCTGGCCAATTATTCAATGATTTCGTGAACAAGACTTACGTAGAGATGCGGATTCTAGACCACATATTAAAATTCGGTAAATTAATATAATGTGTAGAGATACCTATATTAATTGCTACGGTCCTATAGAAATTCTTTGAACTGTTATTTCGTTTAATTAAATTTAATTTGCATAGAAATATGGAATTGAACTAATTAAATAGACTCATCGAGAACTAGAGAGGGGTAATTTGAATACAATAGAAGAATTCGACCTAACACTACTTTAGATTTTATGAATCTAGATATTAAAAATAAAGGTGACCAATATGTGAATTTGTTCCGCCCTAATCTCCATTTATTATTTGAATTCTGACTCATTTTTTTGTTGCATTCACGAAATTTTTAGTCGTTAGATTTAAAGATCACATTCAATCATTTTTTGTTTATTTTCATCAAATAGAAGTTAGGAATAATAAATTGAGTATTAAAGTATAGTTCTCGTAAGAACGATAATCAGGAATCAAAAGATCTACTTTACTACTTGTTACGATCCGTCCACTTGCGGAATAAAATCGATAACAAGTTTTTGGCGTCGTTGCCAGGGACCATCACTTTTAGTCTTAATTTATTTATTTTATTTTTATCTTATTTTTAATTGTTATTTGATTTTCTGTAATTTTCTTATTTTCTTTTATTTACAGAAAATCGTGTTCGTTGTATGCTCCGTGCCCAAGACGACGATTTTGAACTATTTGATTCGAAAATAGAACATACCTTCAGACGAACACACAGGGAATATAAACAAAAATAACAACATCAAATGACTAACAATCTAAACAATCATATCCCTTTACAACCAATTGGACAAATGACCGTGAGAGATCAACAACAAGAGCAAAGGGAAGTAAATGAAGGGGACTTGCCAGTTTTTATGTTTTTGACGCCTATAGCAGCACCCACACGGTCTAGCATATTATATCCAGATTTTGGGGTAAACAACTTCCAGATACAGGCTGATTGGATTGATTTGATGAATAACACTTTGCAATTCTATGGGCTACCCCATGAGAATCCAAACACACATATCTCAAGATTTCTCAGGAATTGTCAGAATTACCATGCTCCCTGGGTTAATGAGGACGCCATCAAGCTACGGTTATTTCTTTATACACTGAGAGATACAACATTGGAATGGCTGGATGCTGAACCTGATTGAAGTATTATCACATGGGAGGAACTGACTAGGAAATTTTGCAACAAGTTTTTCCACCAGCTAAAGTAGCAAAAATCAGATTGGAAATTCAAACCTTTCAACAAAAAGATGGGAAAAGCTATCACGAGGTCTGGAACAGATTTAAGGAGTTGATGAGGAAGTGTCCAAATCATGGGATTACTATTGGAAATCAAGTGCAGTATTTCTACACAGGACTTCCACCACTATCCAAATCTCAAGTGGATTCCTCTGCAGGAGGATCGATCATAGGGAAATCAGTGCAACAATGTATGGATCTGTTTAAGTTGATTGCTACTTCTCATTCCATGTTTTCAATAGAAAGAGTGGTGCCTCCAAAAGCAGCGAAAATAAATGAATTAGACAGCATAGCATCTACCAACGTCCAAATAGCAGCATTGACAAAACAAGTAGAATTATTGGTCAAGTCACAAACAAAAAGAGCACATGCAGTGATAACTAGCCCATCCTGCGAAAACTGCGGGGGAAATCACCTAACAGAAAATTGCACATCTATGGGCTTTTCGGTGGAACAAGTCAACTTCATTCAAAAGGCTCTTGAAATTTTAATCTTTTTTCACAAACAAACAACCCAGGATGGAGATAACACCCAAGCTTCAGATGGTCGGATAATTAGCAAGGGAATAGTTCAAACAATGCACAACAGGAGAAAAAACCAAGTTTGGGGAGATGTTCAACCAATACCTGCAGAAGATAGACAAGGTGTTCTAGCAGATTGACACTAACTTTCAGAACAGCAAACATCCATTAAGAAGCTGGAAACTCAAATTGATCAGATAGCTCAACAGCTTGCAGAACGCCCACAAGGGACATTGCCAGGCAACACAATGATCAATCCAAAAGAGCAAGTGCAAGCTATTACAACTAGAATTGGGGTGCAACTTCCAGAGATACATGTGAAGAGACCAGACATAAAAGACAAAAAAGTAATGGGTGAAGAGGCTGTGACAGAAGCATAGTCTGAACAACCAACTAACGAGGAGGATAAAAGGAAAGAAACATCCATGATGAGAGTACTCAGCCCCATGAAAGCTTATATGCCACTAATTCCCTTCCTTCAGAGGCTACAGAGAAAGAAGTTGGACAAGCAGTTTGCTAAGTTTGTGGAGATTTTCAAGAAACTGCACATTATTATTCCGTTTGCAGATGCAATTGTCCAAATACCCAGCTATTCTAAATTCTTGAAGGAGATCCTGTCTAACAAAAGAAAGTTGGAAGAACATGAGATAGTCTGCCTGAATGAGGAGTGTAGTGCAATTCTATTGAAAAAAACTACCTCCTAAACTAAAACACCCAGGGAGTTTCATGATACCTTGCACAATTGGTTCTAATTATTTTGAACATTCTTTATGTGATTTGGGTGCCAGTGTTAACCTTATGCCTCTTTCTGTTTATAGGTCTTTTGGATTAGGAGAAGCAAAACCTACAACCATCTCTTTGCAACTGGCTGACAGATTGATCAAACGATCGAAGGGGATTATTGAAGATGTGCTAGTCAAAGTTGACAAATTTATTTTTTCGGCTGACTTTATTATTTTGGACATGGAATAAGACGTAAACATTCCTCTAATCTTGGGAAGACCTTTCTTAGCTACTGGGAAGAGCATTAATTGATGTTTATGATGGAAAGATGATTCTTCAGGTAGACAATGAGCAAGTTATATTCAACGTGTTCAAGGCAATGAAACATCCATTGACTTTCGACACTTGTTGCCAAATAGATGTTCTTGAAGAGCTTGTGGCAGATACATTTAAGACAGAGCATTACACAATCGGAAGCAACAAATGTAGGAAAAGCTGAATGTGTTGTTAACTTGACCGAGCAACCAATAGGAAGGAGACATTGACAGTATGAATCTCTTTGCGACAAACCTTCACCCCCGGTACCTTTAGTGGAAAAGGTACTCACTCTTGAACTAAAGTCATTGCCTTCACATCTCTGTTACGCATATTTGGGAGACTCCACAACACTTCCATAATCATCACGAATGATATGACAAGGGAAGAGGAGAATAAATTGTTGGAGGTAATCAAGCAGCACAAAACAGCAATTGGATGGATAATAGCTGATATCAGAGGAATCAGTCTAACTCTTTGTATGCATAAGATTTTAATGGAGGACGGATCAAAGCCATCAGTGGAAGGACAATGTAGATTAAATCTCACTACAAAGTTGTGAGAAAAGAAGTGTTGAAATTACTGGATGCAGGTATTATCTATCCCATCTCTGATAGTTCTTGGGTGAGTCGAGTACATGTGGTGCCTAAAAAAGGTGGAATTACTATAGAGAAGAATGAGAACAATGAGCTGATACCAACATGGTTAGTGACAGGGTGGAGAGTATGTATAGATTATAGAAAGCTAGACAATGCCACCAGAAAGGACCATTTTCCATTGCCATTCATTGATTAGATGTTGGAGAGGTTGGCAGTACATTCTCATTATTGCTTTCTGGACGGATATTCAGGATACAATCAAATAGTTATTGCTCTAGAAGACCAAGAGAAAATAACATTCACATGCCCTTATGGAACTTTTGCGTTTAGAAGGATGTATTTTGGTCTATGCAACGCATCTGCAACCTTTCAACGGTGCATGATGGCCATATTTCTCAGTATTTAGGAATTCTTTTGATGATTGCTTGGAATGAATATTGCTTGTATTACAACGGTGTGAAAGAAGAATCTGCTGCTCAATTGGGAAAAAATGTCATTTCATGGTAAAAGAGGGGATAGTGCTGGGCCACGGGATATCCTCAAAGGACATTGAAGTTGACAAAGTCAAGATACAAGTGATTGAAAAATTGCAGCCTCCTAATTCAGTTAAGGGGATCAGAAGTTTCTTAGGACATGCAGGGTTTTATAGAAGGTTCATAATGATTTCTCCAAAATTACAAAACCTCTGTGTAATCTATTGGAGAAGGATGTGCCATTTCACTTTTCGGATGAATGCTTAAATACCTTTAATACTTTGAAAGAAAAGTTAACTTCTGTACCTGTAATAGTACCACCTGATTGGGATCTACCTTTCGAACTTATGTGTAATGTTAGTGAGTTCGCAGTGGGAGCGTTGCTTGGCTAACGTAAGGAATAGTGTTACATGTAATCTACTATGACAGTAAAACCTTGATAAATGCTCAAATCAACTATGCCATAACAGAAAAAGAGATGCTAGCAGTGGTCTTTGCCTTCGACAAATTTCGTTCCTATCTGATTGGTTCAAAGGTGATAGTCTACACTGACCATGCAGCATTGAAATATCTGTTTGAGAAGAAGGATGCTAAACCTAGGCTGATTCGATGGGTTCTGTTACTGCGAGAGTTTGACATTGAAATTTGCAACAAAAAGGGGTACAAAAAATCAGGTAGCGGATCATTTATCAAGGCTGGAGCAACTGCGTGATTCAGATGATATAGATATTAATAAGGTCTTCACAGATGAGCGGTTATTGCAGATAGAAAAGGCTCTGTGGTATGCAGACATTGTTAATTACATAGCTAGTGACTGTATGGATCTTGATCTCACCTATCAACAGAAGAAGAAGCTGCTCCATGAAGCGAAATTCTATTATTGGGATGATCCAAATTTATACAGGAGAGATGCATACCAAATCATTAGGAGATGTGTGCCAGAGGATGAGATGAAACCTATCTTTTCACAGGTTCATGCTTCGGCTTATGAAGGACACTTTGGCCCACTAAAACAGTAGCAAAGGTGCTTCAATGTGGTTTCTTTTGGCCTACACTGTTCAAGGACTGCCACAATTTTTGCAGGTCACGTGATAAATGTCAGATAACAGGTTACATATCAGCGCGTCACGGGATGCCACTTAACAACATTTTGGAGGTGAAAATATTTGATGTCTGGGGGGTTGATTTTATGGGTCCTTTTCCATCATCTTATAACAATCGATACATCCTAGTGGCAACGGACTATGTCTCTAAATGGGTAGAAGCTAAAGCATTGCTTACAAATGACGCAAAAGTGGTGGTGGACTTCATAAAGAAACACATCTTTAATCGCTATGGATCACCTAGGGCCATAATAAGTGATGGTGGAACTCACTTCCGCAATCGATTATTCTAGGCAGTGCAGCATAAGTACGGGGTACAACATCGAATTGTCACTCCTTACCACCCTCAAACAAGTGGACAGGTGAAACCTCGAACAGATAATTGAAAAGAATTATGGAGCTCCCTGTGAATGCATCTCGTAAAGATTGGTCAAAGAAATTAGACAATACCTTATAGGCATATCACACTCCTTACAAGACGCCTATTAAGATGTCTCCATATCGATTAGTTTTTGAAAAAGCATGTCACCTATCAGTGGAGTTTGAACATAGAGCATACTGGGCATTGAAGCAGTTAAATATGGACCTCGAAAAGGCTGGAGAAACAAGAATACTGCAGCTACATGAACTGGAAGAATTCAAAAAAGAAGCATATGAGAATGCAGCCATCTATAAGGAAAAGATGAAGCAGTGACATGAAAAGAATATCAGGCAAAGAATTTTTAGAGTGGGAGATCAAGTGCTTTTATACAATTTAAGACTTAAACTATTTCCAGAAAAGTTGAAATTTAGATGGTCCGGTCTTTTTACGGTCTCTCAGGTGTTTCTCTACGGCACAGTTGAATTATACCATCCAACAAAAGAAAACTTCAAAATAAATGGCCAATGTATCAAGCACTACGTGGAAGATTTCTCCACCGCTAAAGAGAGCCTTAACCTAGCTGTACTAGAATAATAGTAGCACAAAGTCCAGCTAATGACTTAAAAGAAGTGCTTATTGGGAGGCAACCCAATTTTCAAATTTTTTTATTTTACTTTTTATATCGCATAGCATATAGTTTTTTTTTGTTTACTAGGTTGCATTGATTTACGTATATTTCAATTTTTAGGAGTCATCACCCATATTCCTTCTGCTCTTAGGCCCTTGAATTTATTGTTGTTTATTTTAATTGTTTGAGCGAAGCAACCCTTGTTCGCTGTATTTAATTTGTCAAATTTGATTTTTCAAGAATATGACGTCGTGGAACACTCAAATCAACATAGATCCAAAGGAAAGCATGATGAAGAATATTATCCAGCCGTCACACATAGTGCCTCACACATTCAACAGAAAAATTTGGGGAGTACCATCTTGTTTTTCTTCCCTACCCCCCTTATGTGCTTATTTATACTTTATGACATTGAGGACAATGTCAGTTTTAAGTTTGGGGGTGAAAAAACTTTTAGTTTTTGTTTTTTTTTTGTATGTTTTTATATTTTTGTGTGTTTGTTTTTTTTTTAAAAAAGAAAAGAAATAAATCGAAAAAATTAAAAAAAAATTCTCTTTTGTTCAGTTGTGTGCTTGTGTGGATTAGATAGTGTGGTAGACAATGATGCTTTAATTTGAAATTTGGTGTTGATTTTTGAACTGTGGATATGATGCATGCTAGACTAATTGAAGCTCAACATTGCAAAATTTGATATTACAAGTGTACTAAAATTGAGTTTGACATTATAATTAAATGAGTTGTTTCTTGCTTTTGATACGTTCATCTAGTTGGACATAGATGCTTTACCTAAACTATAATAAATTATATATCTTTAGACCAAATTTAGCACAGTTTGGGGATGATTTTACAGTTGTAGGAAGATGCAAATGTGAATGTGGATTCCATGTGTGAAAACTTATGTGTGGATTGTCTTAGACTAACATGATAAAACTTTGCGAAAATTTTAAGTTAGAGGTCGATTTGTTTGAATAAGTGTGTGATGAGGGCCATTGTACTAATCAAGGCACATACATTTGAAAATTTTAAACTTCTCTCTGAAGCCTTTATAATTCGAGTGATTAAGTCTATAAGGGTATTTTAAAATCTGGTGCCCTAAAGCCATCTGACTTGGGAGCCATCGGCCTAAAGCTTGTTACAACGGTCATTTAGAAAACAATTAGAGACGAAGTTGCACTTGAAAAAAAAATTGTTCTCTTCGAAACCTTTTTGACTCGGTTCGATAAGCCTGTAAGGGTATATAAAAATCTGGTGCCCTAAAATCATCTAGTTTGGAAGTCATCGGCTTAAAACCTGCTACATGGGCCATCTAGAAAGCTTGATGGAGAGGATATAAAAAAATACTTGTGAAAAATAGAAAAAGCAAGTACATGAAAAGAGCAAAAACACTAAATACATTGGTTAAGTCCTAACACTTATTTGAGGGAATTTGACTTTTGATGCAAGATAATTAGCTAGTTGAGTCTTGGAAGTCGAAGCAATCAAATAATTGGAGAATTCTTGTTCACTAAAGTGCTGATTTACGACTAATAACGTCCACCTAAACTAGAGAGGATGAGGATAGTAATGAAATATTCAGCCTTAGATTATACACCGGGAAAAAGTGAAAAAGAATAAGTTTTGGGGTGTGTGAATCTTACGAGTGATGAAATGACATATATGAACATTAAGGGTCAGGAATTGAAACAACTTGTGCAGTCATGGTTGATTACTCGATTCTTCACACACACACGTTAATTTTTGTATTGGAATTTGGAAGAGTGGATATTGGTTTGGTATTGTGACTTTAAATCATCTTTGTGAAATTAACACTTAAATCTTGAATCATGCGGTAAAAAGCTAAACTGTCCAACCAAATATTTTTGCATAATTGTGTGTCTATTACTATTTAGTTTATAGTTTTGTTTGAGGACAAATAAATGTTTAAATTTGGGAATATTTGATAAGTTTATTTTATATACTTATTCGTTACCTTAAATAGCGATATTTGATGGTTCTTTTAACAAATTATATCCTAATTTTTTGTCTTTTATGCTTAATAGGTGAAATTTTTTGAAGGAAAATGAATTGAAGGAATGAAGCAAAAAAGGGCAAAATGCAAAAGTTGGGGACTAAGTTGTAAAAATTCAATAGTTGATCCGGACCATGAATCAAAGATTGAAGAGTTTGAAGGTCAAATTGAATATTTTAGAAAGTAAGGACTTGAATTGAATCAAAGAAGACATGGGTTGCAAGAATAAAAAGATTCAAGGATTGAATTGTATTACCTTGAAAGATGGAGAACTTGAAGAATAATTTAACTATTAATGACTTCAATTGGTGGTTTATTTGACCCCTACATGCATGCATGAATTAGAGTTTTTATTAAAGTGGTTGCAGGCCGGGTTGGCAAAAGGAATTGGAGTCCTTTTTAGAGTCTTTTTTTTAGTCAACAAAAGTGGCTCTAGGTTTTGATATATATATATATATATATATATTCATATCAACGCATAGGAAACTAACAGTTTCTGGAGGAGTAGCCAATATCATAGAATACACGTACGAAAATCGAAGAAGAAAAAATTACCTTTTTCTTTAGTCAAATTTGGTGGCTTTGAAATATTTTCTTGAGAGATATATGCGCACAAACAAAAATTTAGGTGGCCAGAATTTGAGTGACACACATGGAATTTGGAGTTGCAGAAAAATCGAAAAAAAAAAGCAGACAGCAACACGCAAACAAGATGACATATTTACTTTTGCAAATTATTCACGTTCCGTCAATTAATCTGGTGACATCTTCCATAAATTCGTGTTTTTCTCTCATTAATATGCGTAGCTAAATTTAATTTCAGGGCGAACAATGTAATCTATTTGGGATTTTTATTTCTTTTATTTGAGATTCTTTTTCTTTTATTTTTTATGTGTGGATTTTAATTTTTTTTTTTAATGCTTTGAATTTTTCTGGTCAATTATTCAATGATTTTGTGAACAATACTTACGTAGGATGCGGATTCTTGTTTAGATCACATATTAAAATTCATTAAATTAATATAACGTGTAGAGATACCTATATTAATTTCTGCGGTCCTATCGAAATTCGTAGAATTGTTATTTCGTTTAATTAAATTTAATTTGCATAGAGATATGGAATTGAACTAATTAAATAGACTCAATGAGAACTCGAGAGGTGTAAGTTGAATATAATAGAAGAATTCAACCGAACACTATTTTATGAATCCCGATATTAGAAATAAAGGTGACCAATAGGTGAATTTGTTCCTCTCTAATCTTCATTTAGTATTTGAATTCTCACTCATTTTTCTGGTGCATTGACGAAATTTTTAGTCGTTAGATTTAAAGATCACATTCAATCATTTTTTTGTTTATTTTCATAATAAATTGAGTATTAAAGTATAGTCCTCATGAAAACGATAATCCAAACTTAAAAGGTCCACTTTACTACTTGTTACGATCCGTCTACTTGCAGGATAAAATCGACAACAATATCAAATTGAAGGTAAAAGATGGAACACAGAGTACATTATTCAGGATTAATTTCTCTGTGATTTTTACAGTTCCTCTATGTGTGACATTAACCAGAGCACCATTTGGGAGAGACGCCAAATAAGATACTTTGGCTTGAATGGTGCTATAAAATGAAGTGCAACAGACCATGTGGTCTGTTGCTCCTGTATCTATTATCCATGGGGTATTGGAACACTTAGGCTTGATGCCATAGGTAAATAAGCAAGATGAGATACCAGATAATTTGGGAATTTGTGTGTCTGCAGGAGTTGCACCAGTGAGAGATTTATTGTTTTGTGATTGCAATAGAGCCAGAAATTGTGCATGCTGCTCCTGAGCCAGAAATTGTCCTAGCTGATGTTCTAGGTCCAGCCAGAGTTCACGAGCCGTTTCAGCATAAAGTGTGTGAGATTTAATCTCAATGGACATGGTATTTTGCAGCCAAGCAATCACTATATCATTGCAACGCAATCAATGTTCCATCAGAAAATGGTTGGAGCTTGCTGGTTCACTGAGAGTTCCATCGATGAAACCGAGTTTGTTTTTAATTCAAAGTGTTCTCTTTATGGATCTTGCCCAAGCATAATAGTTGTATTGTCAAGGACGTGAGTGACTAGTATTGCGCCTGAATTGTCGTTTCCCCCAATGTAATATGGACTGCAAGGATGGGTAGGGTCATTTATATTTGAAGTGTGATGAGTATTTGGTGTTGGGTTGACGTTATCATTTTCTTCAGTGCTTGGATTTGGATTTGTTGTACCCACAGTGGTGCTTTAATTATCAGCCATAGTTATTGCTCT